TCTCTTCTCTCTCTCTCTCTCTCTCTCTCTCTCTCTCTCTCTCTCTCTCTCTCTCTCTCTCTCTCTCTCTCTCTCTCTCTCTCTCTCTCTCTCTCTCTCTCTCTCTCTCTCATCTCTCTCTTCTCTCTCTCTCTCTCTCTCTCTCTCTCTCTCTCTCTCTCTCTCTCTCTCTCTCTCTCTCTCTCTCTCTCTCTCTCTCTCTCTCTCTCTCTCTTCTCTCTCTCTCTCTCTCTCTCTCTCTCTCTTCTCTCTCTCTCTCTCTCTCTCTCCTCTCTATCCTTAATCTCTGTATTTGTTATTATTATTAATGTGTTTTTTCAATGTGAATATTTCTATTGCACAAGTGACCCTATTGTCTTGGGGGTATGTGGTCTCTGAGTGATTTTGCTTATCATTGTTATTATCAAGGAACGTATAACCATGTAGCTCCACTTCCATTTAGCCTATTGAACCCAAAAATGAAATTGACTTTTTCTCTGGGGTTATCTGTCAGATGTTTATGATAAGGAACTCTTCGTTATCATGAAAAAAGGGAAATTTTGGTTTTACTTCTGATGATTATAGCAATAGCAAGTAAATTATACAAATGATTTTATATCTAGCTGCATCTTATACCTCACAATGCACTCACTGATTATGATTATTGACATGATTGTTATTATTATCATTATTATAGTTATTATTTATATCATCATCATTATTATAGTTATTATTTATATCATCATCATTATCATCGTTACTATATTCATATTATTATTACTACCATTATCATCATTATCATTATCATATCAGTAGCATTAGCAATAGAATAATAATTATTATTGTTCATATTGATAGCATTATCATTATTATTGTTGTTATTATTGTTGCCATTTCCATTATTGTTATTATCATTATCATTATTACCATCATTATCATTAGCACTAAAGGATACCGTATTTGCGCCTATAACATTAATATTGCTTGTATTTCCTTTTAGCATTTTGACCATAACTAAAACAGTTCTATTCATATTCCTGGTGCGCATAGGAGCACGCACACACACACTCACTCACTCTCACATTCACACACACACACACACACACACACACACACACACACACACACACACACACACACACACACACACACACACACACACACACACACACACACACACACACACACACACACACACACACACACACACACACCTCTTCTACCCTCATAGCAATAAAGGATAAATGAAAATCGAATGAATTATAGAATATTTATAATATCTAGAATTCTTGTAAATTAAATTATCCAAATAACTGTTCACAGAAAACTGAACAATAATTCAGGCAGAACACACACGTCACAGGGAGCATTGTTCCACGACCTTGTTCTACATTTTATTACTGGAACTCTAGATAAACAAAGATTTTCAGGTTTTGTTAGACAGTGTCAGTTTGCAGGTGTGTGGCGCTGAATATCTTTCGTCTAAACCAAAGTAAAATAACATCCACATATGTTGAAATTCCCAATGCCATCAATATCATGACACAATATTTCATTTTCGTTTTGCTAAATCACAAAAAAATAATAATAATAATAATAATAATAATATTGAAATAAAAGATAAGTATCAAGATATGAATATCTACAACATTATTTCGGACATTGAATTTTTATCATCTTTAAACCTTAAAAAATACAAATATCAACCGTAAACCTTAAATAAATATTCTTTATTATTCCAGTTGATAATGAAAAAAATCACTAAATCCTTGAGTGTAATATTCCTGGACAAATGAGGACAGAATGCAACGGTTGACCTCTAGACCGGTTAAGTAAGACAAAATACACATGGATTACATTTTACATCTCTTAAAATCAAAATATGTGTGCAAGATTTGAAACAGCCTCACCAATCGACTCAATCAGAAAACAAAGTTTTGAGATACAATTAGTTGTTAATTGCCATGGTAAATTACTTTCGTTAATGCTAAAGTATTCCAGAATTGTACGCGTTATAAAGTGCAGTTCCCAGGCGAGAGCGAGTGCGAATATGACAGCTGACTGAAGATTCAAGTGGCTAGATGCAAATGAGGGTGCAAATGTGCTGAGCTTGAGGTGTTATTGCGGCTGACAAACAGCTAATTAGTGCAATGGCGCTTTTGATATGCTGTGTGAAAAAAGGGTGCACAAACAAGTAAAGGCGCAAGTGTGGCTCATAAGCAAGTGCTGCTGCGATTGAAAGGTAACAAAAGTGCAAGTGTATTTAATAAGTGCAAAATTAGCTCACAAGCAATAGCAGGTGCAAAAATGGCTAAAAAGCAACTAAAGGTGCAAGAATAGGCATCAAGCACTGGAGGAGTCTGTTGTGCAACAGGGTGCAAGGCTGGCCGGCGAGCAGAGGGGCAGACGTGGCTTACAGGCAACAAACGGCCAAGCTGGCTGACACGCAGTTTGGGCGCGTGATTGAGAAAAAGATGTAGGCATATGATTGCTATAGATCGTGCGAAACACGTTGAACTAAAAAGAAAAAGGATTAATTGTGCAAATGTTTTCAAGCAATACTACCTATGCAAATATAGTCAACAAACAATCAAGCGCGCAAAATTATCCGAAAAGCATCAGTGAGTGTAATTACGGCTGGTGAGACAAAGGGTGCAAATATAATTAGCATTTGTAGATACAAGTTTCGGTAACGAATCCCTAAGAGTGCAACTAAGAGTGCAAGACGAAAAGCAATTAAGGATGCAGTGGCATGCAATTAATAGTGAAAAGTGTCGTGCAACTAAGAGTGCAAAGTGACAAGCAATTAAGAGTAAAAGTGCAAAAAAGCAAGGAAACAAGGTCCTTGGAATGCCATCTGTTGCACATCCTATCAGCGCACAAGAACACGAAGCAGACGTGACTGAACATCTAAACACACGTGGGTCGAAGCCTGGTGAAAATGTGGATGGATGTTACGACTGGCAGACTTCCAAAGATGTCACCTTATGTACGTGATATAATGTGTATAACTGAAATATCCCCTTGCCTTATTTTCTCTTTTACATTACATTCTATTGTCATTAATAATACAGATAGTGGAACATGGAGATACCTTATACTAATTTGGCAACACATTCAGGACCGTCATAATACTGGACTGTCTATAAGATGCTTGTGTGTGTGTGTGTGTGTGTGTGTGTGAGTGTGTGTGTGTGTGTGTGTGTGTGTGTGTGTGTGTGTGTGTGTGTGTGTGTGTGTGTGTGTGTGTGTGTGTGTGTGTGTGTGTTTCTTTCTTAGTATTACACTACAATTATTGGAATGTTCATTTTTCTTATTAAGCTATTTACACCTACAATTTGTTACATATATATATATAGATTTATACTAAGAATTAGAGGAAGCATTAAATTCTGTTTATAATAAGTTTTGCTCTATATGTAACAGCCAAATCTGCAAATTAGTTGCATCATCAATAGACATATATACACATCATATATCTGACTGTAATATATAATGCAAAGATAAAATAATTTCCATCATAAAGTACCTAAAGATACACTTAAAAATATCTTCTTTAGAGCCCTGTTGCAGTTTTCATATAAAAAATAAAGGAAGGTTGCATTTTTTCCAAACAGTCACTGCCTCTTCTGGCCTCTACTTAGACTATGGTTACCCGGGATAAAAGGACTGTGTTAGTGGCAGAACTCCTCACGCCCTCAGCATTCACGAGAGAAAACCCGTGCACAGTGCTACCTTATCGTGTACCCATCTGTGGGAAGCATTAACTCTAATCTAGCGAGCTCTCTTAATGTCGCAGGCTCATTGAACAAAGGGTTCTTGTTTTTAAAGTTTGCAGTCTTGAACCTTCTATATTATTATAATCTTGTTTCTCGACACTATGCCAGCAGTATACAAATCGATGTTTACTCTCAAATGAATAATTCTCTTCTTCTCTCCTTTGTTGTTGCACTGTACACATGTAATTGCATATCCCACAAGTTATTAAAATGTTTATGTAAAGGTGTGAGCCCTTGAGGGGAAAAGTTCTGTTCAGGTGCCAGCTTTGACCTTTTTTTACTTCTGTAAAAAGCTTGAACTCCATTACTATTAAGTCTTTTACTTATCTCTAACACAGTCCTTCAAAATCATAGCTAATTCTATCCATACGTCATAATCAGCTGCTTTCCACGGACACTTCCCTTCTTTAAATGGACTATTTAAATGCTGATATTCTTCTAACAGACAACAAACTGTGTTATTATCCTTCCATCTGACACACTTAACCTCCTCTGGCAGTGCAATTAATCCTATCTTTACTGAACCAACCAAAAATCTTCGAACAATATATTAAAATGTACCCTTACTATTATCGCTCAGTTAATACTAACACACACAGGACTAACTTATTTATATATAATAAGGGAATGCACATTCTTTGACCAGTTTCTACAAAATAAAAATTAAAGCACAAATATCTTTGTGTTTAGTCCAATAGGGAACAAATGCTGTCATAAAGACTTTCTAGAGGTACATCCTTATACCCAAACCTTAGACACTTAATAGACACTAGAGACTTGGCCATGGAAAACATCATGGATATTCATGAATGAGTCATACACATCTGTGTGCCATATGCATTTTCTCATATAAAAGTTCATGTTGCCGAGCAAGTGAGAAAATACAATGTTTCTCAGGAGTAAATTCTGATATCAAACCCAGCTGATTACACCTTCCTCTAGAATTTAAGTCGAGTCTGATCCAGAGGAAGTAAATTCATGCAGAACCTGAATATGCATGACTTGGCAGCGAAACACGCACTGCCACCTTCATTCTTTTTGCGCTTTAAGACAAGACACTATGTGCTCAGCGGTCATCATCACTAGCTGGTCTGTCAAGCCAAGTTCCCTAGACCTTCATTTAGCAAACATATAATCAGGTACAAGAAACAAACCTATTACACAGAAATTAAACTCACACAAACATTAGAACCACCACGATATTGCAAAAGTAATGATGTAAAAATACAAGATTAGTTTTACTGTATTTATATAGCTACAAGAATACACCAAAAGGACAGTTTACACAGGGATCTCATCTCCCCTGCTACGTGAGGACACACATGCTTCATCATATATGTGAAAGTGAACAGCTAAGGACACAAGAGCCTCCACTCTTCCACAAAAGAATTTGTACATTTCCTCTTCGCATCTAGGAACCAGCTACCATCCAAGAGCCTGCCTGTCTCCCCCTCTCGTGTTTCCGGATCGGGAAGGAGCTTCTTCAGTTGCAATAGTGCTCCTCGCGTCTCACTCGGCATCTCTCGCACTCCACCTTGCAGCACCAGATGAACCGGCAGTTGCATTTCTCCTCGACGTCCTTCACCATGGTCTGGTATCCTCGGCCGCAGCACAGGATCTTGCAGCCGTCCATGCCCCAGCTGGTCTTGTTGCACAGCCGCCCCACCGTGCCCAGTACACCGAGCCTGTGTGAGATAAATTTGGGTTAAGACTGTTTCTTTCCCCATTTCTTTAGATAATGTACATCCCTTCTTCCCCAAGACATGAACAGGCAAATACTAGAATGTGACAAGTACGTTGCATCATAAACGTATAGATAAAAATACTGAAATAGGGATCAACATTACTTAGCATCAGGGAGACCAACTTTGCAGTGCGTTATGCAAACATACTCCAGAGTATACTACGTAACTTACGTTTGGTTTCGGTTGCAGTAGTCTGGCGACTCTTCTAGGTAGACGAGGTCACGGCGGCTCGGCTTCTTGAAACCGCGTCTCTTTGGCCGGAGTTTCTTCCTCTTCTTTCGATTGACGTATCTGGAAGGGCAGGACGAGTCAGCGGGCGGGCAGCTAAATGGGCGAGACCATGACTGGCAATGGAAAGCAGTTCGGCCAGCTCTAACCGCTCCAAAATATTTAGATTTTATCTAGATGCAGGAAGCGGCACATCACAGAGACTCCTGGCATTGTTTAGTCATAATTACAGACACGTAAACTCATTACCTTTTGTTTTTTTATTTTCGAATGATTGACCATTTATTGCCAATACGCCTTCTTGCATGGAAAAAGGAAACATAAGCCACAGTGGTCAAACAAAAAATAAGGCACTAAAATACCCTAAAGCAAACCGTATGAAAAAGGGGAGCGTCTTATTATACACTCAACAATTTTTCAAAGAAAAAATCAAGCAAAGTGAAGGTTGGGGTAACATAACATAAATATCAAATTACACTTTCTCTTCACCTGACGATGACAGCGCCCTCAAAGCGGTGCAGGAGAGAGTCCCCAATGCTCCTGAAGGCCCTCATGCGCCGCCAGCACACGCGCATGCTGCAGGAACCCGAGACGCCGTGGCACTTGCACAGGATCTCCATCTCTGATCTAATGGCCTGGAGGGAGAAGCTCATCGTTTATGCGCTGCTGTTCACAAAAGATTTGTATTCCATTATACCTAATATTTTCTTTCCCTGTTTGTGTTTTTGCTTTGTGTTCTTTAGCTGTGCTTGGAAATCCGTAAAGTGTATTAGTCAGTGATTTAATCTTCACCTTGTTTAATTTGTGTTCAAACATGTTTTCGCTGAAAATCGAATGCTTCTTGCGAGAGGGATCATCTGTAAGTTTCTTATTTCCATTATTAAAGACCAGAGGCACGGTAAGTCTTTATTTGGAGTGCATGAAAATACAAAAGCGTAAAGGATTACAGTTAACGCTAATAGAGAAAATGCAATATCTTACTCAGTTGAAACAGTTATATCCATCTTGTTTAAATGCTGTTGCTATGAACCGGGATTTCTCCTTTTAGTCCACGCCACTATCAGTCACTTTATAAAGTGGCGTTGACGTCTGAGACCACACAACTTATCTCATTAATCCAAAGAGCTATTTTTCATACATTCCCAAATTTGACAGTTAGTGGCCTTCCTATCATATGACATGCTATTTTATTTTTCCTATGGCTTCTGTTAATTTACTACCCATATGACATCACTCTATTCCCCTTCGATGTTATTCCTCCTATGGCATCACTACTACACTCCTCATATGACATACTGATTTACTCTGCGCATTCCATTCAATCCTCCGGTCCCCAAACGACCTCCACTCACCCTCCTTCCAGCCTCATTGTTGTGGAGGTTCATGAGGCCCTCGGCGGTGTTCCTGGACTCCCTCGCGTCCACGAACTCCTTGCTGAAGTTCTCCCCGAAGGTCAGATCCTCCGAGCACCCTCCCCACTCCCACCTGAGGAAAAGATAAGTTTAGTGTCTTGTATTTATATTATCCAGACATAGAAGGCATTTCTGCATGTGGTTGCTCTTTGCAAAGCAGATCAGGTATATAATTGGCAATTGTTTGGTGTACTGTGTATTATCTTTTTTATGATAAGGTAAAGCATCAAAAGAAGCGCGGGTTACTGAGGGTTTTTGAATATGTTTCAACACATGGCACCAAAAGGAAGTGACAATGCCGCTTGCACTCACCTGCCGCGGTTCGGGCGCTGTCGAATGCGTTCGTCGCAGCCGCAC